TGACAAAGTTTACCTTGTGGTGAGCGCGAACAAATACTGCATTGCGAACGAAAACCAGACGGATGAGGGGAAAGGAGAAACAATATGCAGCTCAAACCAGAACCAGAATGATCGATAACGCACCACCGTGGTTATTGTTCTGCCCTGCGTATTTCCCATTTGCCCTTTCCGTTCAGGCTGAGGTACGGATGACCGACAGACGAATGACAGCGTTCTCGGTGTAAAAGAAAACATGAGGCGCGGCCCCAGAGGGTGCTAGGTAGTGGGACTTCCCCTATCTACAAAGCCAACCGCCTACTAGGTAGGCAACTTTAGTTACAAACAGCCTAAATTAGGCGTAGAATGGTCTAGACACCCCTCTGGATCCATCGCCTAATGTATGAATGCAAGTTTCCGCAAATGAAATGAGTGATATTATAATACTTCAAAGCGCGTGACAAAGAAAATCTACTCATACAGAAGTGTGCGTGACAAACGGGCAGAACAGAAAAACGTGACGCCTATTTGTAGTATAATTGTCATTACAGATTAAACAATAATGATGATGTGATACTGATATCGTACCCTTTTCTGTTATGCTTGTCACGCACCTTTCAGTATTAAATGGTCTCGTACTTGTTTTAGGACAGCGCTTGCTTACCTTCCCCTTTATCGCTGGATGCGACTCTTTGACTCGAAGCCTTTCGCTGTCGTTTAGGACGAACGCGAGAGACACGAGCAGCAGTAGTCTCCGCCTTTCGCCTTGCGCCTCTAGTGGCCACAGTAGAGTCAGACGACGCCACATCCAACAAATCAGAAAGTTCGCCGTCGAACTTGGACAAATACTCCTCAAAATGTTTCTTCTTAGAGCTACCGCGGAGGGAAGTCCACCGCTTATACAGGTCTAATATTTTTTTTGATATGTTTTGCCACGTAACAGTAGATTTACTGCGTGAGTGCCAGTGACACACAAGTGCAATGGCAGTCTTCCTTGCAGCCCCCTCTTTGGATTCATTGCAATTATGCAAATGATAAAAGAAAACTCGCATTACGTCACGCTTTGAGGGCAACGTGTTGTGGGGAAAAGTAACCCTCGCCCTCGGCTTGCCCTGACCCTGCCGAAGGTTGCATCCGAATAGTGTCACGAGTGAGAGTGAGAGGCAGCGCCCGCCTATAGCTCCGTCTCTCTCGAGCGCTACTTCCGTATGAACCGCAAACAGTTCGCCCGGCTGCTGGCTGGCGCTGTCTGCTCTCCGTCACTTGTCGTCTGCTGTCGCTCTCCCTTCCCCTGCCCAGAGTACACCTAGTCTTTGCTTGAAATGCGCGCGCTAGGCGCCACGCCGCGCCACGCCTCTCCTCCGCCACTTCTCCTCCACTGGTGCTCCCCCCACCACTGCACTGTTCCCCGCCCGAGTCGGGCCGCGCGCGCCGCTCAAGCGGCTGCCGAGCGGCAGCCGCGCGGCTCCGCGTACAGTTCCCTCGATTGAACCGTGTTCCCGGTTGCGCATTTTGACAGGGGCAGTTGCAATCGAAAGGGTACAAGGTGCCCTTCCAGTCTGCGAAGAAAAAATCGCCACTTTTGCGAATTTCGGCCGCTGAGCGCGAGTGGCGCGGAACGAGACATTTGGGCCCCTAGCGTCCGCGGGGTGCCGGTGGTAACGAATTGCACTTGCGGGATGTAAAGTAGAACCCCCAAGGTCACACCTCGAACCATCGGCGACGCCTCCCGTCGCGCGCAGCACGCGCAGCGAGCCTAACAAGAAGTGGGTCTTTTTCCCGCGCTCTCGGGGGCGTTCGGTAAATCGAGTGGCGCGACCCCTAAACGTTGTCGCACGGACCTCGGACAAGGTCAGAAAATCATCATTTAATGTCCTCTATCTTTTAGCGCCCGAACCTCGATCACTTTTTTTCCGTCGGATAGGCTAACAGGCACCCGGGGCGCCGAACTGCTGACTGCCAGATTGCTGTGCTGTGGCATGGTGGTCCTCCTGCCTCTGGGGTTGCTTCCTCTCGTGGGTCT